TACTGCATTCTTGTGTTTGTACATTGTTAGACAATAATCTACACATGAACAGATTAAACTAAGTACTATGATGGCGACCCCAGATGTCCAAATGCACATAAAAATGCTAAGATTCTGAATGATCGGGGTACACTTCACTGAATGAAGAGTCAGGGCTTTCACCTTCTTCATCAGCCCCTTCTCCGCCCATGAAACTTGGAGGTAAATCAATAGGCTCTGAACGGAGAGAAGATAGAAATGGTATGAGTCGAGTATGAGGCGGTATAAAGATGGCTCGGGGATTCCGGAACTCTGTCAGTCGTTCACCACTTCCACGATCGGTCACACCTGAAACAAAATTGGGCTTAGTCAGCTCATATAAGAAAGAATAGCGATGTCGTAAGGGTGTGGTTCGTTAGGACAGAAAGTAGGACAGAAAGAAACTTTTTCGTGCTTTTGCGCGTGAAACATTTTTCGCTGCGGGAACTACAGGTCCACTCACGATCAGCGGTGGACCTGAGGTTCCTGCAGCGAAAAATGCTCTGCGGAACACGAAAAAGTCGCTTTCTGTCCAAATGAATCACACCCATGTCATAACATGTGCAAAAAGAATGCATATAAGGGAAACAAAAAATTTCCAGAGAGAAGGGGTAAGACGGTTGAAAAGGAAATCTTTCCTATGAAAAGCATAGAGTAACGCTGTGCTACAGAATCTTCTTAACACTGGGTAATCAGAGCGAGAACGTCCTAGTATACATACTGACTCAGCGGTGCAGTGAAAAGGAGTGAAATAATGACTAACTTTTGGATTTTAACATGAGGAACTGTGCGATAGCATGCCCGAGCGCTCGTTCTAGCGAGTTTCCAAAAACTCCAACATACACGGCATCGTCACTTGCACCGGCTCCAGGAGAAGAAGAACAGAAAAACGAGAGCAGTTCTCCTTCAAGACGATCGATGAAAGCCTGCAATAAAACGTTGGGCGAATGTCGATGGGATGAGAAATGATAACTTCAACATGAATCTCTCAGGATTTACTATGCATCATTTCACTACTTTAAAAGCTATTTTGCAGATGCTATTTTGCGGATAAGGTTAGATTGGATTTATCCAGATTAGGGGTCAACAAAAGGGTTGGTGGGACAATTGCTGCCGCCTGTAAAAATAGGTGGAACAAGTGAGAAACTTCAACTTGTTGCATGAAAGAAAATTACTGGGGTGCGTCTTTTTCGTTTCCGCTTTTCTTATTTCACCTATTGGTCCTTCGCCTCCGAAGATTGGAAATTTTCTAGGCGGAATATGTACCGTCGCATTTAGATACCAACCCATTACTAGATGGGAGTCTATCATTAGATTCCAAAACTGTTCCAATTAGGCATAAAAAGTTCGACGTTCATAATTTCCTCTAAGGATGCAGCAAAAACTCTACTTCCTTTCAGAAACGTAGTGACTCAATGATTTTAGTGCACCTACGGGGTTCGTCCGATGAATTCACAAGTGAGAATCCTTTCCTTGCAGCTAGCACCGAATGAACATTTTCAGAGAAATTCGAGCTTTGGTTGAACTACGCAATGTGGGAACTGCAATTTGATCCTCGAACAGTGGCGTGGTGAACGATTGATGAATTTCGCGCTTATTGCCATTTTTTCAGAATTTCAGACCATTCGAATGGAGAGGTTTCGAACTGGATCCCACACGACAAAAGGACGGCCGTTGGATTGAACACCTTCCTTATGGGCGCTCTGCAAAAAAAAAAATTAATTCGCTCCGTACTTTCGAGGGTTGTATGACATCTAATCCTTTTGGTGTGGAGGGAACCTGGTAGTAAGTAAGAATGCGTGAGCCAGGGGGAATGGGGCCAATTCAGGGGGTGGGGGTGTGAGCCACTTAACCTGTGGCAAAAGTTTGGGCCTTAGTGTCTGGTGTCTGGCCTTGTGAGGGAGACGCAGAGGAGCAAAAGGATTAGATGTCACAAAGACCTTCCTTTCGAGTGGCGACGGCATAATAACAGGGACAATTGAAGACGCTGGCGTAAGTGAATTCAAAGATAAGCTTCAAAACAGGAGCTGTTGTTTGCCGTTCGAATAGAGCCACATATTGGTTTCGCCAACATTCAAAATTGTAATACAAAATGCGCTGCTTGATCATATTTCATATTTACTATACTTAGAACTGAACATTCTAAATTTAAGTTATGGTTCTTGGACACTTCTGAAACGAATAACCAAATTTAAAAAAAAACACCGCAAAAACTGGCGTTCGAAACGGACAAACTCACCCAAGGAAGACGTTTCTCAGACAGTAGACGTCTACTTTTGATATCCATACGCTCAAAGCAAGCTCTTCCGCAGTACGCCGGATGATCTTAAAAATACCGCATGGGCGTAATGAAATAATCCGAAGTCATCATCAAAGGCACATACATCATCCTCAAGGGCTCGGGACCGAAAAACGCGACCAACATTCTTTAATGCTTCGCTGTGACGTTGCAGTTTCTTTACTTCCAGAACAATTCTTTTACGCATACATAATACTATTACGAATAGTCATTCTCCTAGGAGAATTCGTTGGAGACAAAGAAAATTGAAGAGATTTACGCTTTCTTCCCTAGGGAAGAATATAATGAGGTAAGCAAACCAGCCCTTTTGGCGTTTCGGCTGGGACCGTATGCTGAATGTTGGGGAGGGGATGGGGTCCCCAACGGTCGACGGTTTACTTCAACTCGGTTGGTACGATAGGAGAGTACTGACGCAAGTGGTGCAGCTGGTCCAGCAGCTCGCCAGAAGGGCTGGTTTGCTCACCCCAGGACTAAGCCTTGGAGAGGGGACGGACCCGTCCTCTCTTTAAGGCTTAGTTCTGAGGTAAGCACCAAATTGTGGCGGTTCTAAGGACCGAGTTGAAGTGGTCCGTCCACCGTCGGGGACTCCATCCCCTCCCCAACATTCAGCATACGGTCCCAGCCGAAGCGCCAAAAGGGCTGGTTTGCTTACGTCGGCATATGGCGGGAAGAAAGCAAAGAAAGCTTACGGAAATACGTCGCCTCCAGAACTACGAAAACATAAGAAAATACGAAAGGGATAATAAGGATCTCACTTACCAGTATGACCAAACGGTTCAAAAATACATTGCTATAATGGCAGACTAAGGCAAATAAAAGTAGCTGCGCCATCAAAGATGGAGACATGACCGCAATGCGCAAAGCCGCATTTATTCTCTAACATTTCGCAGTTCGCTCTACCAGCACTACCTATGCAAAATGTGATGACAAAAGGATATGAGCCGCGTTCTGCAGGCGTCGGGGCTAGCGATATCGCGATCGCTGTTGTCGCGAAGTATGGGTGCAGTCTAGAATTTCAGCAGCCGTGCAACAACATAATTTCAGCACTAGCAATGTGGAGGCTAAACAGTTTGCGCTAACTGATCCCCCTCAAGCTACAGTTTTTTTGAGGTTCGACATTTACTTGTATAAAGCCGTATGAAAAACAAAATCAAAACAAAACCATGCGTACGTTTTCGTCCATCCACTCCTTGAAGTGCTCTTGAAGGTGATTGAACGTTTCCACCGACAATGAACCAGCCACAGCCACTGCTACTCTCCTTACCATTTAGAATTTGTCGTTGCTCTTCTTCATCACGTTCAATAAAATCGTTCCATACCTGAACATACAAAAACTGTAACTTTCGCTAGAGTAATCGTGAAGCTTACTGAAGTAGCCTACCAAGAGAAGGAAAATGCTAGCTATACATATAGGTAAAGTAAATGTCTGAGTAGACTAAAAGTGATGCGCTGGAAGGTTCGCATCAATGTCGCGAATTTTCGGGTACCCGGACCACGCCATGTACCTTCTGGCGCTTGCAGCAGAGAAAAGAACAACATGATGAGCATGTTCACGGTGGCAGAGTAGGTAGCGCTAATGGTAAGATACACCGCGAAGCTGTGCTGTATCTGATACGTACCATAATGGCGTTAAACAACGTTCAACTCCGTAACCAACGGACTGAGGGTCTCGATTAGCGGGTCTTGAAGATTTCTTGGTTTATTCTTCACTGCTGTACATTAGCATCCCCATTTTCATTTTCGAGCGCTGACTACAATTGTCTCCGATTGGGAAAAATGAAAGATGGACAAGGTGATTAAGACTGTACCTGCATGTTCTCTTGATCAATGAACAGTCTGTCAAATGCAGTGACCGTTTGAGGGACAATGTCAGAGAAGTCGGTGCAGATGTCTTCCTTATCCACAAAGCTCATCAAAAGGCGGACTGCAACAGTCCGTTTTCAATTTGAAACCAGATAAACAATAGCAAATCTAAAAACAATCAAAAACGTCCAATTTTTGCAAAAGACAGTGTATGACCTGAAAAGATGAAATAATAATCCACATACAAAAACGAGCTACCGTTCTCAGACTGACGCTGTTTCCGTGCACCTGCGTTCTTCGAATTCACTACGCCATTTTCCAGATCCAAAAATCGCCGCATCCTGTACAAATTACTCTCAGCTTGTAAATATAGGAAACAAGGAACCATAGAATGAATAAAAACTTACTTCCTTTCTGCTCGACGCTCCTTGTTTTTGCGAGAGCGAGAAGCAGGGAACATGTCAGAGACCTGCTCATTTTGACCGATGGCAGTTACTTCCGTGTCACTTTCCGAGAAGTCGAAACTGAAAAGACTGCTCATTCCTGATAGCAGAGGAAACACATGATTTTCGCTTATGTAGGGAGACTCTCGAAAGTTCATAGATTGAAAGACTGGAGACTTACTTTAAACTGCTGAGTATCATTACACAACAGCAAGCACTATTTACTCATAGTCATTCCACTCCTATAAGTTGGTTCAAAAACTGGATCTAACTAGATATCTGTCCCTCGAGCCTCCTTGAACAGCGATCCCTCGAATTTGCAAAGGACCGCGTACGGGATGTAAGTAGATTCTGATACATGTTCACATTGCGCTAATCTGCCATGAATTACAAGTTTTTGCTAAACTTGGTAGGCGATTTCGCAGCAAACAGACGACCCCTCTCTCCCTCACTACAATCCCTCTTCCCATCCCGAAGGTCCCATCGAGCGAAGAGGGAGGGGTGTGTATGCACTCAGGTCCCGTACCCAGGTATCCAATGCAGATCCAAAAAAATTGAGCGCTTATGGCTTCTAACATTCGAGAAAGTGGTAAACGAAAATCGTTTTGAGTTTTGCTCCCCAAAGGAAATCCCCTAACAAACGGCGTTATTTTCAAATCCTCATGATGTAAAGTCAAGTGATGAAAGTAAGAAGGTACAGTCGATATCGAAGTCTGATTGGGCGTGTCACCGGAAATGACGTGGCAGCCACCGCACTTGATAGAAGTTGCGCGGATAAGCTGCTTCCAACACGCTTTGCTGATATCTGGCGGAGTATTTTATCACACACAACATCTATCAAGTGCGGTGGCTGCCACGTCATTTCCGGTGACACGCCCAATCAGACTTCGATATCGACTGTATTTACTTTCAGCCCACTGTGGCTTTTACATTCATGAGTATTTCGAAAATACGCCATTTGTTTAGGGTGATTCCTTTGGGAAGGCAAACTCAAAGAAGTTTTCGTCTACCACTTTCTGAGGTAGATAGCATAAAGACTCATTTTTTGGATCTGCATTGGATACCTGGGTAGGACATTGGAGTGCAGCACCCTCCCCTCCTTTCGCTCGATGGGACTTCGCGATATCACTGTACATGCGGTGGTCTCAAGGAAATTGTCGCCTACGAGCCGTTAGCACGATTTTGATGTATGGGAGACTCTCAAGCAGTGCACACTATCTACAGCATCTCTCTTTCTTTAACTTCTCAAAGTATTATAGGAAACAAAGTGTGTGTTTTTTCAGGTACGCTCTCACCTTTTGGCTGACAGAAGCCTTGTAACCGTAATGCGGTAGGCGCGCAAGTGTACGCAATGACGTACCGAAATGCTGCGAGAATCGATATGGTTAAGTTTTGGGTGAAGGAATCTGGAAAGCATGGCATTTTCACTGCCCTCTGTCCTTCATCTCCCGGGCCTAACTCTAGGGACCCAAATAGAGCAATAAGAAAGACGCCAAAAGTAAAGAGAAGGTTATGAGATGAACTGCATGCACTGCGCACCTACCATATTATTAGCCTCAAAAAACGGTCACACCACCCCAAACTATTTTGCAGCTCTATGAGCCTCTTTCCTGGACGAAGAATAGCATAGTGTGTGAACGTGTAGGAATTCCCTAATAATCTTGATATTCTAAGGGCTTTGCGGAAATTGATGGGCTACACAAGTGGGATGGGCAAGTCGTTTTTTTGAATACGGTAGGCGCGAAATGTATGTAAGTGAAGACCACGGGAATTATGGGAACTCATGAGCCAGAGGGAGTGTGAGCCAATCTCGTGGGTGGGTAGGCACTTTCACATGTGAAAGCTGTGCTGTGTGCGTTACTTCATCAGCGTCTCGTCAGTCATAGTAAAAGCGACAGCATCCCATCTTTGCTTCAAAAAGAACAGACAAGCGTCGAGTGCAGACCACACACCACAAGTGACGACGCTTTCACAAAAGTATATATGTTTCTGTCTTGAAGGATTACACTTGCGGTTGTATTCATTACAGTTGTCACTTAACGTAAACACGTACACAAAAAATAGTGTTACATGTATGCTATACGAACATACTAGCATAGTTGAATCTATCGATAACATCATTCACGTCGTCTTCAACATTGATTGGGCGGAGGTGGTCAATACGACGAGTGACACCCATACTTTTTGTGTGTGATTCCTGAAACGAGCCACAGAAGTGCCTGCCGTTTTTTGTGAGACTTCTATGCAATTGTACACGCTCAACTGTTTCCAGTTAATTCCATATCTAATTCACACTTCTATCGAATAGAATTATATTATTGAAAGCAGAACGACAGTGGAAGTTCCTAGAGATTTCAGTCTTGTTGACAAACAGTTAACATACTTATAGTTTGTGTTCTTTCTTGTATGTTCAAATGTTCCCAATGGACACAGATAGTGGAGATAATCCTCAAACTACATTTTGTTTCTATGGGACTAACCGAGAACACAAGAAACCTCACACAATTTAGCACGAAGAACAAAGACCTCATTCTGGGTTCATAGATTCTCAAACATTAGCTTTCAAAAATTAGATGAGCGGTATTTTTTCCCAATATTTGCTAGATGCGTCACTGCAAAGATGTTGCTCCACAAGCAAAAAAGCACGCTCGGGCGTGGTTCGTGCCTTCAACACACTGACAACATCCCGTCGTGCATGCAAATCTGCATCTTTTTTTTTCATTTTTCCAGAAAATTACATTATTCAAATTGGTTTTGCATTACTAGTAATGAGTTTACTGTTTTTGCTGATTTGTCTTAATATCTTATATGACTTTTAGGCAAACAGAATCAAAAACAAAAATAAGCGAGCAACAATAATCTCAGGCTCACGTAAGGGTGCATACTTTACAGTTCGAGTATGGAAGAGATAGCTGTCGATCTTACGATTATGGGATCGATATCTATCCTCTTCACTTTTGAACTGCAAAGTATGGCCCAACCATAAGAAAATACGAAGCGCATGCATGCTGCGTTGTCGTCAGTGGTTAGAACTCGTTTCTTTTGCTCAAGTGTAAGCCGTACACTTGCTAGTTTTCCACTTTGTCATCTACAAACTCAGCAGGATTCTAAGAAAAAGCTCGTCGGGCTTGATACGCAGTGTAAACCAGCAATTTCATTAAACTTCGCACCGTGAATTGAAAAAATCATGTTTCTCAACAAGAAATTAAATTTTGCTTTGATTTTATTAAGTTCTCGAAGAATGAACGACACAATATGGGAGAAATAGAAAATGGAAATGTTATGGAACGAATGTGAACGTTGTGTAAAGGGAATTCATGGTGAGAAAACGTCGATACATCGATAAGCGAGTGTGAGAATGACGCGGCGTAGGGAGAGAGTACGAGGTGATGAGAGCGCCGCTGAACCAGCTCCCAGCTGCGAGACAGATGGAGCAATCGTCTCTCAATCCTTTATCAATCAACTAAGCTGATTTACCGTATATCACCACTGCTGAGTGTTTTAATGAGGGTTTTTGGTGGTGTAGTGATAAATTTGGTCTCTATTTGAGAAATGTGGCATGTTTTTGCGGCGCTCATGTCCTTAGGGGGACATTGAAGTGAGAGGCCCCTTATAGAACTCGGGACTAAGTTCAGGGAGGGGAAAGATTCTGGGAGAGGATGTGAGCAACCATTGTTCTCCCTGGTGTTTATTCCCAATCCTGGGCTTCCTAGTGTCACTACCAGCGGTTTTTGAATGCCCTGTTTTGAATGCCCCCCCCCCCACGAACATGAGCACCGTTTATGCTATTGCTGAGTCGCTAGGGCTGCTTCTCGACTGAAAGCAGAAAGTGTAAACATTTCAGATGTTAAATTCGTTGACGTTTTAATAGGTAATGAAAGTACATAGTTTATGGTGACAAGGGCAACCAGGCCTGTTTCTGGTTTTTCAGGCGTTGCCAATTGCGAATAATTTAATTTATTCTATTTATTTATTTTTGTACAAAGATTATAATGAGTAGCAGGTATAATTTCCAATTAATCATTATAAATAGTATAATTTATGTAAATGTAATAATTAAATACAAGAGAAGAATAAGCTGATTTGTCAACGATAAGAGCCTCTTATCTAGAAAATTCTCGTGTAAACAATCCATGTGCATCTTGAACGGTCTCCGTTCTACCTGCATAATTTTCTGATTATTTACTATTTACTAACTCGATTCAAACCTACCGTCTACGATGTTCAGATACAGAGTTTGCGGTGCTATACAAGTGGGGTGGGCACACCCAGCTTTTCACGCATGTCAAGTGACTGCCCTCACCCCCCCACCCCCCTAGATTGGCTACACTCCCCCTGGCTCACGAATTCCCCGATTCTCGTGACAGTATCGTAGCGAGCAGCAGATCCACATTCATACATTTCCGTTCAAAAAATGCGGCGTGCCCACCCTACTTGTATAGCACCAAAGTTGCTTTTTTTATTACCTCATTTCCTTGTCGGCAGATTTGTCAGACCGTGTTAGGACCTGTTAAAATTGTCGGCGAATCAAGCTAGAAGGTGATCAGCCGAAAGCGAAAAAATACATATCGATTTGTGGATAGGCGAATATACGAATAGGCTGTCGCCATGGCTTTCAGCAAAACGCTCAGAGAGCGCTCGGAGGCGATTAAGGAGATTCGAGCGATCTGGCGTTATGAACGATTCGGCATTCGGGGCGGCTCAGCTATTGCAGCCTGAACGACATCTATCACCGTAGAATCGTCCGCAAAATTAGCTGAATCGCTGAATCACCAAAGTGAATCATCAAGTTCTTCCGAAATTCTCCATTATTACGGAGTAATTCATTTTGAGATTACGCTATCACAATATATGGGTGCATTTTGCAGGACTGAGCCTAGGAGGGAACCCCGGAGACAACAAAAATTGCTCACATATCCTTGATTCTCTGCTACCCTCCTTAAGGCTCAGTCCCATGTATTACAGATAAAGATTCGATGTTACCTGATTGAGATATGTTGCTGCCAACACTCTTGCGATTGCGCCGCAATAAATTCCTCTTCTTTAGTAGTCATTATCTTTCTCAGAATTGACTTGAAGAAAATCGCAAGAATTTCGGAATGCGCCAATTATTGTTCTTTCTATACGTAATAAACACTTTTAGAAATTCACCGCTTCGGGAAAAATAATGTGGCCAGGCTTTTTTATGGACCTGCAGATTCTCCAGTTTCTTCGTCATAACTTTCTCGAGCTTCATAATAGAGCAGCTTTGGTGTCTGTCATCGGAATCTATACGGTTTTATTCATCTAAATAATCTTCCTTCTTTTTTCTTTTCGTTCTTTCTCTTCTGAAAGGTTACCACGGCAAAAATTGCCGTGTTTAACAATTTTTGAGCCGATTTCTTTGCATGTTTGCCTTTTCTTGCATTTGGAACTGACTCAGAGGGCTAGAAAGACCTCTAGAGCACATCTGTGATGATAGGCGGTTCAGAGTCCGCGATCCGTCCAGGTTCAATTCAGGAGCGAATTTTGCGTTGATTTGCGCGAAACCTGCGACGGACGCGGGACCTCTGACACCCTCTAAGCAAGTAGGGTTCCGCTTATCGCCCTTCTTCGCAGATTTCGTCCGACTTCCACTCATAATCTTACAGCTACTTGAAGACCATAAAGTCCCACAATATTAAAGAGTCTAATGGTAAGGATTGGCTGATTGCCAGGAGCGCCAGCAGCATGGTCAGAGCGTACTTGTTCTACGAAATGCTACCGGTCCTTACTTAGTGCACAAATATTATTGACGCAGTGCAGCCAAGGAGCGCCTATCACCGAGCAGTGGTGAGATGGTAACAGAAAGTCCAAAAAATGGGCAGAATGCATAACGGCTAGTTTTGAAGATGAGTAGTGAGCAGGTTGCCCATCGCATCTTTGGTACATTGAACCTCTCAATTAGCTGTGGAAAGCATAGAAAGAGAGTGCAAGAGGGGTTCGCAGAAGATCCTGCATCGAAGTTAAGGTGAGTGCATCGTAGTCCCAACCGAATGTGAAATGCCGTATCTTGAATTTCTTGGCGAAAAGTGCTGTTTCTGTGTCATTCTCCACAGAGGGCGACAGTGGGTATACGGGCAGCGAGAACCTACAGCTTGTGTGAAGCTTGAACATCCGAAAGTCTCTGCGCGGTTTGCCTGACGGGGTCTCAAAAGTGCGTTTTTCTCGTGTGGGTGGATATGCACGGAGTCATCCTACCTATGGTTAGTTCCTCAAAATTCTTCTTACGTCTAGGACAATCCACTCAAGAAGTATCGCGTGGTGAATCACGGGCAAGATTCCTTCACAGGGAGTCGTATTTCCTCCGGTATGAGGACAAAGGTGATAGAAGCGAGAAGGTGGATGAACACAGCGGTCAAAACTAGAAGCCCTTGTCTCATTCACCACTTCATTCGTTCCCCACCCCACAGTGGAAATTTTGGAAGAATCTTCGGTGTCCGGGGAGGTTTGGAGTGTGAGGCTGAATTTGGATCAGCGTCAATATTGACTTCATCCATCATAGGGGTCGTATTAATCATATGAGAGGAGGTGATGTACGGAAACCTCCGTAAGAGTGAAGCGGTGTGCTGCGCCAGCAATTTTCTCGACGCATTGTTTACCTTGGTGTGTTGTCAACAACTAGACAATATGCCTGCTCATTATCGTACCTCGCTGGCACTGAGGGTTGCGTGATATTTTTTCTCTAGATGGAGGTTGGCAATCGGGCCATGAATGTGTCTTTTCACATTTATTCAGTGACATCATGGAGTTAGTCTTTCTCAGGCAATTCTGTGTGATACGCCTCATCCTCCTGTCCATCTCTGTTTGCATGAAAATGTTTTGTTTCTCTTCTTATTTATACACAGCGCACCTTTGAGTACATAAGAACAAAACGAGGGTCTATGTTAGGGAAGATGAGCTCCCCCTCACCTTTTTCCCAGCCCTCCATCTTACAAAAAACGACTCCCAGCTTGGGCCATGGCCATTGACAAAAAGATGTTTACGCCTAGATGTGCCTTGAACGCTGACCTCAAATCTACCTTCCAAAACTGCTAAACGATTCACTGAACGGAGTTATGAAGCAAAATAGCGCAGCGGTAGTGGTCGGGACTTACAGTCAAAACGTCGTCGGATCCGTCCCTTATCGTGATTGTTTTGCATTCTTCAGGAACTCAATTAAATAAGCTATTAAAAGCCGTTCAGCTGTATTCCTGAAGAATGCAAAACAGGAATCACGATAAGTTACTGATCGTTTGACTGTAAGTCCCGACCACTACCTGTTGCGCTATTTTGCTTCATAACTTCGTTCAGAGAATCGTTTAGCAGATTTAGAAGGTAAATTTGAGGTCAGCGTTCAAAGGCACACTTAGGCGTATACATCTCTTCTCGAATGGCCATGGCGACCTGGGAGCCTTTCCTTGTTAGTGAACATTCCAGGGTGGGAGAAACTATCCTCATTTCTATGGAAAATTTCAGGCCTTTACAGAACAAGGAGGTGGGAGAACTTGACTACAAGCATTCAAAACCATGGCAAACATAGGTCACAAGAATGATGGGTTATGAACAGAACTTCTGCTCCAGGCGGAAACTGAATTGCGGGGTTAACACAACGGTTACCAAAATGTCAAAGCTCTTAGGCCGGTTTTAGGACTAACAATGAGCTCCGAGGGGGGGGAGGGATGAGGAGGAGACTGGCAGGGTGCATTTGCAATTTCTATTTTCCAGTCTCCCTTTCTCTTGGGTCAATTCATAGAGGATGTCCTGTCTTACGATAAAAGAAATTCAGAAGGTGCATTTTGGCAGTATGCTAAGGGCTTGTTGTGTACCACACCGCTTTTCATGGCAAAAAAAATGTGAGCGCCAATGGTGAATGGGGTCATCTTTGATACCGTGGTGATAAGATAAGCCGTGCCTCGTTATGGAGGTCTATTTGCTATGTGCTATCTCTTTCAATTAGTTATGATACGATAGTTTGTACTTGATTTTTAACCATCGATTAAATGTCAATATTTCTCCATTTTGGATTCATTTTAACTATCTTCTTCGTAGCAGACCACTGCCCGAGTTGGATATTCCTCCCATAAAGGATGGTTTCCGCGGTTTTCAGCCGCATGATTTGGAAAAAGGGATGAAACAGGCAGGTGCAGTTCTCTGTTCGAACAGTTTGTCCTACTTCCCTGTCAGCTCACATATGTACTGCGGTCCGAAACCTTCGTACCTTCAGCGAACGAGTTACAGCGCGCTGTGCGATGTAGGACGTACGCTGGTACATTCTATGTAAGACGCTGAACACACCACCATCACCACAGTAACGCCTCCTGCCGCTCGTCCGCTGACTCTGCCTTCTTGTCGCGCGACGGGCCTCTTGTCGGGTACCCGCCTTGATGCTATCATCCAGAGGTGGTTATGATGGTCATGGGGAAGGGGATGTACCAAGAATGTTCAAGCAGGTTGTCCTGTTACGCCGTTTTCTTAGCGTGATGTTCATTCCGACTTCAAGAAATGCCACTGCAGGGGGTTCACAACGCGCGACATTGCGGTCGCGTTTGCCGCGCGGTGACCTGTTCCACACTAATCGAATTCCGGTGTAGCACTACCTAGGCGAACGTTTTTGCTCACTCGTATAGAGCAATTGCCACTTATGGATTAGTCATTATTGATGCGAAGGTTAACGACCTTGCGTGATAAGGACGGTAATGGGCACTGTGTGTTAACCAACCCATGGATGGATGATTAATTTTCGTTTACTGAACCTCGGTGGTAGCGGTAGTCCAAAAAGTTTCCGTAAAAAGGAGAAAATCATTGCAAATTCACGGGAAAAAGGTGGTTTTGGAGGGCCTTCTTCCAATACTTTATGAACATGTTACAGGATCGAGCGATTCGAAGCAATTAAAATCTGATGGTGTCGTAATGGGCGGAGCATGGCCAGGGCAGGCGTTCTCCCTCAAAGTGAAGGAGGTCTTGTTTCATGAGAAAAGCGAATATCAAGATGTTCTGGTGTTCAAGAGGTATAGTTTTCGATGACGTTACCATAATTTATATTAACAGGCATCTCTGCCAGAAGCCGTCACTTCCTTTGTCAAAGTTTTCTTCTTTTAGCGAATCTTATGGGAATGTTTGGTACTGGACGGTATAATACAAGCTACAGAGCGGGATGAGTTTTCTTATCAAGAAATGCTCGCTCATCTGCCAATGTTTGCGCATCCAAACCCAAAGAAAGGTACTGTATACTGCAAACACCGATTTGAATTTTGGTTTTAGTTTTTTTCTGGTAACGATCAGTAGCAATCTTCAAGGTTCTATAATATGGAGAGGTGACGGTGCGTATTTGAGAGAGGCTTCTGAGGCATCCCGAAGTCGAGCAGGTTAACCATGTGTGAGCATCGATCGTGTTCGATTTGATGCGCGAAACGGTAAGAACAATGATACTGCTACTATACATACAACTACATACTACATATCCATCATACAATTGTTTTGCTTTTAGAAACACTCTTATTTTATGTTGTGGCACCAGCCAAGCGCCATCAGGCCCGCTCTGATTGGTACAGGGTTAGCAAGCAAATGCCAGATTTTGCGGCATACGCACATATTGCGCGTCACTGTCCGCTCTGTCCGCAGTAGCCGCTCGCTCCGTAACCCATGTTAGGCCGATGTCAGACTTTGCGAATGGAGCGATTCGCTAGAGTCCGTTTTTCAATGAGATTGCTGGGTCGAAACGAAGTGATCGTGCCACTTCGGCGACTGAAAACGAGCGGCAAGGAACGCTAGGTGATTGAAACTTGCATCAACCGCACCCCTGCATCAGTGCCCACCCACAGTTGCAGTTACTGCGCCTCGCTCTTCCATGATAGTCTCTCATCTTCGAGTCTAACCCTGGCCTTTGAGTTTGATGCTCCTGAACTGCGTATCCCATTTCTTTTAACATATGTCGAGAAAGCTTATCAAGTGGCAGCTGCTTATATGGCTAATTAACAACACGCAGTATTGCTTGAGAATATTCTCAATTCATTCTGACCACCTAGTAAAGCTAAGCTTGATATACAGTCTGCAAACTGCAGGTGCCAGACTTTGCGACAGACGTACTGTGCGCACTGTCCAACATTCACCGATCACGAGAGCGACGCCGAGTGCCAGCCCGCAATGTTAGAAGCTTAGCCGATGTCAGACTTTGCGAATCGCGCGATTCGCTACTAGCGATTCGCTAGCGTCCGCGGTCGCGTTGCGGTACCAGCCAATAGAGCTAATTTGCTGTTAAAGTTAGGATACAAGTTTCAGGGCTGAAACTCGAATCCTAACTTTGAAATCAGATTCAGGAAAGTTTAATACTGAATCATACGCCGTCCAAGCCACTCACACTTTTCATCCTTCCGGGTTCGATTAGCTTGTGCAAGTCATAGAGGATGGAATCGGCTTGTACACTGATTGGCCCCTAGCTGCGATGTACCCCTTTTCACATCCAACAACTGTAAATGTGCTTTACCCCTTACCCTCTATGTTTACTGAGAGGACTGAAACGTGTATCCTACTCCTCTATATACTTAAAAACACCATTTGTTTATTTCTTCCTTACACACTGCATTCCAGCTTCCTACCTGGAATGTCTTGCTGCTTCTCTAATCCTAAGCTGAATCTGTATTGCGGAGATGGCTTCGAATTTCTAAAAAATCACAAG